TGCATTTGTACATCCAAATTAGCAAAACTGAAAAAATAGATTATCATATTTATGGTCAGGGCCAATGCGTTCATCCTGTCCAGTAATTGTTTTATAATAAAAAAAAACTTTTAAGTGAAGGCACCCACCCATTTAAGCTGTTTTATTGTCAAGAATGTTGCCTAGCACATATCGAAATATCTATTTACAGTGCACTTTGTGCTTCCCCCGTAATCTGAAAGAAAAGAAACAGAGCAATAACAGATGAAGCACACTAAGCTGTTTGCTTGTTTTAAATGTGGAATTTTGCAATGATGGATGTGAATCTGGGTCAGCACTATTTACAGAGAGCACATGGTGTTTTGTTTCAATGAGCAGGAAAATGTTTTGTGATTAAAAGTGGTAAAAGCTTGTAGTTTTTTCCAACTAAGCAGTAAAAAAGAATTACTCAATGTAAAATGATAAATAAAAAGTTCTATGAGTCATCTTTAATGTAGGGAAAATGTGCAGCTGGGACAGAAACTATGTTTTCCTGCATGTTAAAAATAAAATTGAATGCACTGAAATGGAAATTGATAACAGCATGTCCCAAATAACTGTGGGACTCACAGGGACTTTAAGGTACTTGTACTTTTCAAATAAAAATATTGAAATAGTGGCAACAATAATGTAAAGGCCATTTTTAAAGTGAGGTTTATTAAGGTCTAACTTACACTCAGTCAAATTCACTTTTGTGGTATACATTCTATGAGTTTTGACAGACACATTCGGTCATATTGCCACCCACCATTATGACCAGACCCATTTTCGCTCCTCAATTCCTAGTGCTCTCTCCAACCCAGTCCCAGGCAGGCACTGATTTATTTTCTGTTCTTAAATTCTGCCTTTTCCAAAATACCATATAAATGGAATCATCCAGCACATAGACTTTTGACTGGCTTAAATAGTCAGGTCTAGTTTTTACATGAACATAAGTTTTTATATTTCTGGGCCAAATGCCCAGGAGTTCAATTGCTGGATTAGATGGTAGTTATATGTTCAGTTTGTAAAGAAACTACCAAAAACACTATACCACCTTACATTCCTTCCAGTTATATATATGAGTGATTCGGATTTTAATTTGGGGGTAAGTTTCAGTGATAAACTGCTGAAATTTTCAGAGATTAACTAGGTTTAAAATGTATATATTATAAAAATGTTTATTTCTGGAAGTGTTGTAATTAATGACACTCCAGTATATTCACTCACAAAAGAAAAAAAAACACCTCATGTTGGCCTTATTCTTTTCCCCCAGAAACTTTAAACACAAAACAACAATGGAGCAATGTGTTTACAAAGTTCTGGAAGAGAGAACATGGAATTCATGAATATTCAGCCAGTATCCCATTCAGGCCTTCTGAACAGTCAGGGGAGCTAGAGGATCCCAGCATCCAGGAGACATGAGGAAAAACAAAGTCAAGAAAACACAGGGGAACAAAACAAAAACAAAAACAAAAAAAACAACAACAAAAAAAAACTCTGTAAAGAAATCCAGTCACCCATTCATAAACCAAAGTGAAGAATGGAATGGGAAAATTCTAGTAACAAATGGTGATGAGTGTGACACCCACTCAGTTATCGATTTAAAACCAAACCAGTGAGAGACACAAGAGTTTTAACACAGATATATAAATCCTGAAAAGTGACAATAATACAACATACCTAATCAGAAGGAAAGAGGAAGTGATTAAAAAAACATATCAACTCATTTTTCTTTCGTGAAACTCAGTTCAAATTTGATTTCAATCTCAATGATTTTCATTAAAGGGTTGAAATCATATTTCATGCATATACATATTACATTCTTAAACTTAGAGGAAACTTTTAGGTATCAATATTTCTATGTGTTCAGCAATCCCTTTGGTTTTCATTCTTTTTTCTTCTGCTGCTAAATTCAAGGAAATTTTTATTTTTATTTTTTGTTCTTTTTAAAGAAATAGCTCTTATTTATATTAACCTATACAATTTGAACCCCTTTTTTTGTAAAAGTCTTTCTTGACCCCCTTAAATTACATAGAGAGATGTCTGAAATTCTTCAAAGATTAAAGCTGGCTTGTTCTTGGGTGGTAAAATGTTGAGTGACTTGTTACTTCTGTCTTTGAACATTTCCATATGTCTTCAATTTCTTAATATGTGCATATGTTCCTTTTATTAAGTCAGCAGAGGCTTCAAAAATATAAACAGTCCTCATATATATATTTGTATTTGTAAAACTCCATAAAAGTATGCCACATGTACACTCTTCTGGCTGGTGCACAGAAAGCGAAAAGGGAGGTGGCTTCAAAAGCCACATGCATCTGATATAAGCTACTCATTGGGTGATGTGAGCAACATGCAATCATTCCTGAGCTGAACTTGTTAAAGTGTCTATGGCTGAGGATTTTCCCTCTTCTACAGTCTACATTCCAAGATTTCAATTCTTAAATATGCCAAATACTTCATGTCATTGATTTTCTTTAACAAGCACTTAGATGACACGTAAGGCTGGCAAGAACTGTTCTAAGTATTTTACAGATATTAACTCATTGAATCCGCACAATGGTCCCATGAGATAGGTACAGATTCGAAATAATGTGAATACCATTTGTAAACAGTGTCTTCAGTACAGTCAGTATGCCACCTTTTTCATTCAGCCATTCAACTGATACTTGCTGGACACCTACTGGTCACCCTCTGAGGTGCTAATTCGTAGAAGATGCTCAGCTAAGATGTTCATAACAGCTTTAAAATAGGTAGACACAAAGGGAGAGAAGCAAGTTCCAGCTTGTCTTCAGGATATACTCTGAGCTCTCATGCACGTTCTCTCTTGTCATTGCTATCGTTATGGGATAGTGTTGATCTATGGCTCAAAATGATAATTCTGAATTACAATTTCTATCAGTGGTTGCAATCTAATGGTCTGCCTTTGTGTTAGATCCACAGAATTTTTTTAAAAATCAAAATCCTATGTGTTATATCATTAGTTAAATAGTTACAAAGATAGCTATAAATCTCTGATGTTTATAGTGTTATGTGTATAGTTAATAAATCAGAACCAGAGAAAAATTATGATAACCATCAAAACTTCACAACTAATAAAATTTAAATCAATTAAAATTTAGTTCCTGTCAGAAAAAATTGTGAAACACTTTGACATGACCAAAAAAAAAAAAAAAAAAAAAACAATAAAGGATAACTGGGTATCTTGTTCAGTAGACCCTTCTAAATTTTCTCTTTTATTGTCTTTTACCTATTTTACAAATCTGTAAGCTGTAGAAGCTGTAGGATATTGGTATTGATGAAAATTATTATTCTCCACAAAAAATATAAATGCATCATATTGTGTCCAGTCAACATTGACCAGTTTTACACCTATCCGTGTATACATTTTAGTATTCCTGAGTGCCTTGTGCATTTAAAATTCTCCTTGGAACTGACTGTTACATCTTTCTGGTTCTTTAACAAATGAGTCAACATCTTTGACATATGTTCACTTTACATTTGTATAAGAATCACAATTTTACCTTTCCTAAATTTTTTTCTGTAACATTTATTTAATGTGACACATTTTACTGATAGGAAATGGCCTCTATAATTTCTCCCTGTTAAAATGCTTAGCAGGCAATAACCAAACTCCTGGTTTCATATTCTGCCATCCTTTGGTATTTGCAGTACCTGTGGTCAGGAATTTGAAACTCCTAGGGGTTATTACATTTGCATTTATATATATATAGTTGAGCTTTTGGAAACAATGTCTGGAGATGAGCTTGGGCCTTGGAGATTCTTGTTATTGGGGCTATCTACTTCTTCAACCATTTGATTTCTCTACTTCTGGCATGCCTGGGCCACAAGCGCAGCTGGGGGCTTCTGTGGAATAACTTGGGCCCCAGAATAATTAGGGATGAGAGGACTTTGGAATTGATACTTCTTTTTGATTCGTTATTTGACTTGGTTTAACCTCTGCAATCTGTCCCGCAAGACCATCTTAACAGGTGCTCAGAAAGGGGGTGGAAGGGAAAGAATCTCCCAAATCAAGCTAACCTCTGCTGTCTACTATGGTAGCCACTACCCATGGGGCTATTGGGTGCTTAAAATTTGGCTGACATTACTGAAGAATAGAATTTTAAACTTTTAATTCAAACTAAATTTAAAAACTGCAATTCAATCCAGTTATTTGAAAATACTATGTTTGGGACTATTTGAATGTGTGAATCTCCTTTTTAATCATACATTTTATGAAATCAAAATCTGGAGCATGATAATCGCTCTTTCGAGTTGAAATATGCTGAAACGGAAAATACACACCAGGTTAAAAAGTCTCACCACTAAAAAAGGGTAAAATATTCCATTAATACCTTTTTTATTGACACGTTGAATTTATAATATTTCAGGTATACTGGGTAAAATAAAATATATTCTTAATATTAGCCAAGTGTGGCGATATAAACCTGCAATCCCAGCTACTCGGGAGGCTGAGGAAGTAGGATTGCAAGGTTGATCAATAACTTAGTGAGACCCTGTCTTAAAATAATATTTTGAAGGACCCAGGATGTATGTAGCTCAGGGTAAAGTGCTTGTTTAGCAAGTCGTGAGGCCCTGGTGCTTAACCCCCTGCACCGCAAAAAAAATAAAAAATGAAGTATTTTTTTTTAACATGGTATTAGAAAAGATAAGATCACTTTGCGGTTAGCATCTTTGGGTCGGGACACCCAGGAGGAAGAATCCTCTCATTTCTCTTTATCTGGTTTGCTATGGGGCTCCCTTGTGATTCTGGATCTTTTATGCTTTGGTTTTCTAATCCCTAGCAGCTTTTTTCTCCTTCCTGGGAGATTACACTGCTCTACAGTCGGTTTTAAAGTTCTGGGCACCAACAGTCTCTTCCACTCCCCACCTGTATGCTCCTGGCGCCCCAAGACCTTAGAGGAGTGGTCTTGCAATTTCTGACTCTGCCCGCCAGAGGGAGCGCAGTTGCCGCCGTTGCTGTCTACCAACCTGAGGCCCGGAAGCAGTTCTCCTCGCGCGCGGGGCGACTTCCGGCGGAGTGAGCACAGGGTCGCGACGTGCCGGCTTTCCAGGGTGGCGGCGGTGGCGAGATGACCACGCTCCGGGCCTTCACTTGCGACGACCTGTTTCGCTTCAACAACATGTGAGTAAGACATGTCCTGAGCCGGCAGCTCCTGCCCGGGCCCCGCTTCCTGGACTGCCAGCTCTGTCCCTAACTGCGACCCCGGCCGGACCCCCTCACCCAGGCCGGGGCCTGGGAAGTTACCCCGCCGGCCGACTCTTGCGTCTCCTTCGGGGTTGCGGGGGTCCGAGGCCCGGTGGGTCCGGGACTGATTGCGCACTGGCATTGGTGACCTCAGCCAAGGCACTTAAATAACTTCATCCTTTAACCCTGCGTGCCCATTGAGTACTGGGCAACGCCGGGGCCGACTCCAGGTCGTTGTCAGGGTGCGCTGGGGTGGCGGAGCGAGGTGGGCGAGCGGTCCCGAGCCGCGGGTCTGGGCTCCACGCTTAGTTCTGGGGCTTACCGGTTAGTGACTTTTGGGTACTGTGGACACACTAAAGTACCCGCGGCGGAGGCTGTTGCAAGGTTCCGACTGAGGTCAATAGCTAAGTGTTTGCTGGGAACAAATCCATTGGTTAAATTGTATCCTAATGAAGTAACATTGTCATCATTGTGTCCCACCGCAGCAGGTGATGTCGCAGTCGTAGTGTTTGAACGTTTAGTTACTGTATCTGCACATCCCCGGAGTAGACAACTTTTTTTTTTTTTTTTTTTCTGTCGTGGGAAGTCCAGGAAGAGGGCAGATGATTGTAGAGATCCATCGTATGCAGAGTCCTGGGTTCAGTCTGAGTTAAGGCAAGATCCGTGCCTTGCAAGTACTTTAAAAAACAAAAACAGTTTATTATCAAAATTCTTAAACATTTAGAAGAGTTGAAAGAATTTTGCCTTGAGCTCCTATAGGTACCACGTTGGATTTTACAGTTGAAATTTTATTTTTACTACACTGGTCTTATCTCACCTTTGTCTGTCCATCTGTCAGTCCCCTAATCACTTTTAAAAACAATAGTGCAATAAGTGAAAACTGTGGGCCAGTGATTCAGATTCAAATGTCAGGAGTGTGGGAAAAACTTTAGGATGAGGTGGATAGGAACATTGAGTAAGGCTTGAAGGATGAGGAAAATGTTGGGGAGGAGGAAGTTCATTCTGGAGAAGGTGTATAAGTGAGAAAACAAGAAGTTTAGTCAGATAGCTGGTATCAGTGTAAATTATAGTAGTTGACTTCTGTATCAGCAGTCAGGGAAAAACAGGTGAAGCTGGTCTTTGGATCCATCGTAGAGGGGTTTAAATGTGATTCTGTGGGAAGAATTTTCTGTTGGGTCTGACTTGTGTTGATTTCTCCCTGTCCCATACACACCTGTTCTGAATGCTCATGTAATCACTTAATCCACTCAATTATGTGGTGCTGACATCGTTTTACTTTATTTTATTTTGAGTAAGGTATTGCAAGCTTATATGAATTGTCCCAAGTGATGGAGCCCAGAGGTGGGAATGGGTTGAGCCAGGCATTTTCTTCAAGGAGATTGGCCCTGGTGGTTCTTGGAAAGTTGGTCCCTGACTATAGGGACTGTTTTAAAAATGCAAATTCTCTGATGTTTGAGACCATTGCTCTAAAGAAGTCCCTTGATATCTGTGGGGGATTTGTTTTAGGATCCAACATGGATCCCAGAGTCCAATGATGATCAAGTTCCTTATTTACAATGGCATAATATTTGCATATAACCTATGTGTCTCTGACACACTGTAGATTGTCTGAGATTTACTTATAATGCTTCATATAATGTGAATGCCTTATAAATAGTTGCTTTACTGGGTTATTTGGGGACCGATGACCAAAAAAGTCTATACTCAAAGGCACGAATGCAATTTTTTTCATATATTTTCAATCCAAAGTTGGTTGAATCCAAGGATGCAGAACCCACAGACATGGAAGGCAGACTGAACTCTTAACCAGTGTGCTCTGTGGGGTGTGAAGTAATTAGAGGAAATGAACCAGGCAGGTAAGCCACTTAGGAGTCCTTGGCAATGGCCCAGAGATGATGACTTGACAAAGGCGCAGGTTTGGGAGGTGCAGATGGGAGGTGACATGGTGGCCGAAGTTTCAGGAATAGACAAGTCAAAGCTTGTAGAATCAAAGATCTAGAAAGGGACAACACTGTTTTATATGAAAATGAATAGAATTGAAGGTTATAATCATGAACACTATAATCAAACTTTAGATTCCAGGTCACTTTGCTTGCTTAGCCTTTTCAGCATATACCAATAAGGTATATAGGAGCTCACTTTGTCTCCACTTTTATACTCCTTTTATTGTCATTTTGGTTGGAAACAAAATCATGCAGGGTAGGATTGCAGAAGGAATTGAAAGAAGCATTAGGTATAGACTGTTGCAATTAATTTAACTGAAATTTTATTCTTGGAACAATATTTGAGTGCCTAATAAGTGCCAGTACTAGAGCAGCAATGAAAAGAACAAAAATATTGGTGTCTTTATGGAATTTACATTTTTAGAGATAAAAGTGGTAAATACAACTTAGTGTTCAGTATGAAGGAAGAAATAGAAGCAGGGAAGGAAAATTGGAAGTGCTTAGGAATTCAACTTTAGGTAGGGTGTTAAGGGAAGATGCCATTGAAGAAAGACCTAGGTGAAATGAGGGAGTGAGTCATTTGGATACCAGGAGCTTCCAGATGGAGGGGACAGTAAAGATATCTGTGCAAAAGATATTTCAAATAGGAGGCAGCAACCAGTGTGGCTGGTATATCGTGAGTACAGGCGTGTAAGAGATGAAGTCAGAGAGTCAAAGGCCTAGTTCTTGGAAACTCCTTCCTGGGACTTGGGCTTCTCTGTCTTCTCATTAAGACACCCCAGTAGAAAGGTCAGGTAGGCATCTGGGTCTGGACTAAAGATAGGAATTTGAAGATCCTTACTGTGTGGATGATGGCAGGTTATCAGGAGACTATATGACACTAGTGATGGAATAACTGTAGAAAGAAAAGTCTAGAATATGCCCAAAGGTGTCAAGGAGACCGGTCACTGAGGTGGGAGAAAAAACTGATGGAGTCTTGGAGGCCAAGTGAAGAGAGTGTTTCAGGAAGAAGGAATGAGGAACTATGTGAAGAGCTGCTGATGACTAAGTGTAAATCCTATTTGTACATTTCTTCTAGGGAAGAGACAGAAATTTGAGATGCAGATACAGGATACAGAATCGCAAGAGCAGGGTTCTGAGTAGTGAGAGGGGTGGGATCTGCTGGCTGACACTCCATGCCTAGTGACAGAAGTGCAAGCAAGCATCTGGTGGTCATTAGGTGGGTGGATTCACTGGTGGGACTTTGGTGACACTTTCTTCTCTTCTTACTGTTGTATTTTCTTTGTGATGAAATAGGAAGCAGCTGAGATAGAGAAGGGGCAACCTGTTGGAGAGTCAAGGTGAGACGAGAGGATATGAAGTAGTCAAGAAGTGTAGGAGAGTGAATCCCCACACTGTGTTAGAGCAGTGATTCTCCAGGTGAGGGTCAGGGCTCTGCGGGGTCCCCAGGATTGTTTTGGAGTTCTGCAAGAACAAAACTATTTTCTTAATACTAAGATTTTTTTTAAATGCCTTTTTCACTCTCATTGTCTTAAAAGCATACATTGGGGTTTTCCTGATGTGTTATCTTTCAACAGCAAGCATAACAAATCCTTGAAATTCAGCTGGTTTCTTCTAAAGCCAGTCATTGCAAAACTGTTAAAAGTGTCATTGTCGCTAAGTTTTTGTTTATTTTCCAAAATATAGTGATTTCTTGGTAAAGTTATTAATGTTAACATATAATTGACTTAAATAGATTTTCAATGAATATTTTTAATTTTAAAACATCAATATATATAACCTATCTAAACTAAAAGTTGAATACTTTTTTAGTGTAAAGGGGTTTTTTGAAACCAAAAAGATTGAGAACTTACTGGAATAGAGAGATGTAATATGGCATTGTTAAGGGTACCAAAAAACTTGACTATAAATGGGAAGAAGGTTGAAAGTTGCTGGTTTGTGTCTGAAAAAATAACAGTTCCATTAAATGAACAGGAAAGTGAGAGGCCAGAGTTGGTTGGGGATGGAGGATATAGGTTTTAAGAATGGTGTGATGATGGTGTGGTAGTACATGCTGGCACCAGGGCCAGGTTGGGGAAAGCCTTCTTCAAAAATGCACAAAGGAAAATATAGGAATGGGGTCGGTGGAAATGAAGGAGTAGGTAAGTAAAAACTGAATGTTCATATTTATAAGGTGGAAAAGAGAAAGAAAAAACTGTAAGGGAAGGCCCCACAGGCAGGTAGAATCCTTGTGTGAAATGAAGTAGCAGGCAAGTTTGACCTGCTGTCTATATTCATAATACTAGGTATATACCTAGTTGGTCCCCAGCTTCACTAACAATTTACTATCTTCTATAAGATTCTTGTGTAATTTGTTAAGAGTAAAATAATTTGTAAAGCAGTTAAATGAAAATGTATAGACAATTTTATAGTTGCTGTTGACAACTCATGATGGCTACTAGGTAGTATAAACCATCTTTCTTGGCTCGAAAGTTGATTTTAAAGTTGTGGAGTAAGTATATTTTGTTTTCCTGTGGCATATTATTTTTTGTTTAAGCAGTTTTATTAAAACTGGTTTTTGTAAACACTGCTTATTTTGACATTTCTTTTGTTTCTTTCAGTAACTTGGACCCACTTACAGAAACTGTATCCTTTTTAAAAAAAAAAAAAAAATTAAATGAAGATTTACCAGTAAGGAAAATGGAGAAATAAAAGGAAAAATTACACAAAAGGGCTGAAAACTTTAAAAACCTGTAAATCATTTTAAAAAACAACGAAAACAATAGTTGCCTTAAATCTGCCTGGCAAACTACTCATATATATACTTTACATAAATCTGTAACATTATAGCTCCCTTGCCCACCTTGCCCCATAGCAGTAGCATGGCTGTATGTATATACCAGAAAGCACAGTGACTTCAGTAAGATGGCTGTTTCCCTCTGAATGAAGTCTCCAGTAACCACCCTCTTTGCAATTTTAATTATCGAATCATTCCCAGAGTAGCTTTGGTCTTCCTGTTCCAGGTGGCTCCAGAGCAAATGGTCAGTATGGCAGCAGAATCTACAGAGGGGAGGTTAGTGTGTCCTTCCGTTTTAAGAGTAATTTTGCAAAGCACCATAAAGTACCTGCCTCCTGCCCCACCTGTCTAGTCTATTCGTAGTCCAGAATTAAGCCCAACTTGAAATTGGGACTTGTTACTAAAGTGAATAGAGGATTTGGGATAATAATTGATAGTCTCTATCATCATCCCAACATAAAAATGGGCAGAATATGGAAAGTTAGGACATTCTTGGTTATGTTGCTATAACAGATAACTACATATCTTCAGTGGTTTAAAATGAAACATTAGATTTCTGGATTATGCTTTATGTCCATTGCAGATCGATAGGATGTTCTGTTAATTGATAATTTAATTTACGCCCTAAAAGGGCATAGTAGAAGCTTGTAAACTTGTAAAGACTTCCATCTTACCAATCAGAAGACATGCAAACTTAAATCAAAATGAGAAACCATATATAACAGAGCAGATGATCCAGAAATTTAAAAAAAAAGAGATAAAACTCAATATTAATGATGATGGGGTAAAAAAAGCATTCTCATAAATTGCTGGTGACAGTATCAACTGGTATAGTCTCACTAGAAGGTGATTTTGAAATATAATACTTAGAGATTCCATTACCTGAAAGCAAAAATAATTTTTTAAAATAGAGGCAGTTTTTATCATAGGTAAGCAAATTCAGGTCCATGGGCCAAATTTGGCCCACTTTTTTTTTATGTAAATAAGATTATATTGAGACGTGCCCATGCTGACTAATTTATTGTCTGCTTCCCTACTTAATGATCATCCTGTATCTAAGTCTCTGTGTAGCATTTATCATCTAAGATTCTTACTTGTTCACTGTCTGTTTACTCATGGACTGTGAATGTCAGATTTACTCTGTGATGCTTGGCACATAGATGTTCAATACATTAATTTTTCTATAATTACATTGGAAAATTAATGGCTAGTTCCTATTTTGGCTTCAGCCATGAAACTGACATGCAAACTTAAATAAAAAAAAAGATATGCAAACACAATTATGTTTTTTTGTTTTGTTTAAAGGAAACTTTTTACCATCCGTTACTTTTCATACTCCTTAACAGGATCTAGTGTAGGATTCTTTTTTACTTATAGTACCTCACCCACTGGCCAGAGACCATATGGTCCACAAGCATAGGAAATTTACTGTCTAGGCCTTTAGAGAAAAAGTTTGCTACCCCTGAGTTACATCATGATAAAAATTATTTCAGGAGAATTTTATTGAAATTTTGGAATTCACACATAACAAGGATATGGTTAAATAAATTAAGATGTATCCAAGAAGGACTTACAAAGTTTTTTGGGAAACTAGAAATGACCCAGGTGTCTCCTGACAGGAGACAGAGTATTTAGATTTGTCTTCATATCAGGGAATCCTACACAGTAGTAAAAATTAACCACAGGTACAGGCTATAAGAGGACTATAGATCAGAAACAAAATTGAGTAGAACAAGAAAAATCCACAAAGCTTTCATTTGAATTTTTAAAATTGTGACTAACTAAAAGTATCTCCCTGTCTTTAAAAGAAAAAAGTCAAAAGTTTTTGAAGAATTTTGAATGCCAAAGGAAAATTCTTACTGTATAATAAGGGAAAATATTAGAATGCAAATCAACTTATACAATGTGCTTTTGAGTGGCATCTAAATTTTACAGTTAAATCCCATAATCAAAGTGAGTTCATATTTGAAACTAATCTGTTAGGTCCTACTGGTTGATTTGAGGAGTAGGCAAGATGATTAAGGAGTGAGTGGCTTCATGGCAGCAAGACTGGATGGCCTGCAATGTTAGGGTTGTTTTAGTTCTCAAAATAATGACTGTTCCTCAGAGGAGAGTTTGAGGATTTGAAGAATTTAACACTTGAGGAAATTTTCCAAAAACTTTTTTTTGTAACAGCACTGGTATTAAACCCAGGGCTTTGTGCAGGCCAGGCAAACACTTTACCACTGAGCTTTGTATGATTGATGGTGTCCTCTCAATAAATTGTATCAGAGTGCTTATACTGAGAATACATATAGGAGAGTACCTATCAGTAAGGACACCCTAGGGTCAAAGAGTTAAGTAATGAGCAGACATACTTGATTCCTTTAATCACATTTTATCTGCATTATTAAAATTTGAATCAGTGGAGGGGAAAAATAGGTAATTATTGCCTCTGAAAGGACTTAGGTTGTACTTATTTTCAGTTTCATGCCTGAAACCAAAGTAGGAACTAGCCATTAATTTTCCAGTGCAATTATGGAAGGATAAATATATTGAACATCTATGTGCTAAGCACCACAGAGTAAATCTGACATTCATAGTCCATCAGTAAACAGACAGTGAACAAATAAGAATTTCAGGTGATGATAAATGCTACACAGAGACTTAGATACAGGATGGTCAGTAAGAAGGGAAGCAAACTGTCCAAGAACTTTGGAGTCCTGATTCTTTGCTTTCTAGCAGTCTCCATTTTACAACTGAGATGATATGTCTAGGCAATTTTGTAAAAATTCAGTGCTAACCTAAATATTTCATGTATTGGGCATAATTAGGAATTTTACAGAGCTGAAGATAAAGTAACAATTATGTTTTTTTGTTTTGTTTTAAGGGAACTTTTTACCGTCCAATACTTTTCATACTCCTTAACAGGATCTAGTATGGGATTCCTTTTTACTTACAGTATCTCGCCCACTGGCCAGAGTATTTCATCGTTGCAGAGGCACCTGGTGGAGAATTAATGGGTTATAGTAAGTATAAAACCACTAGCACTTTTTTGGGCAGAAAGTTAAGATTTTAATGTAGATTTCAACATGATTGCTTTAGACTGTAGAATTGGAATCATGATGCCTGTGTTTTATTTTCTCTTCAACTACTCAAAAGCTTACTGATCACTTCTCTTTTAGCGAATGTTCTAGGTAACAGAGAACCAGGCAGACATGATCTCATTTTTCTTGGACTTTCATTCTATATTTATATCATGGTTTATTTGGCATATATAATATGTGGATTGTATCATCTTCATTGAATTAATAGCATTACTAACAAAAATTTGAGCTGTGAATTCTCTTATTGTATGTACATACCCACATATATACATACCTCCATGAAAACTTTTTCTGATTCTATAAACAGATGTGGCATTTCGTTTGCAAGGGAATTTTCAAATAAATACCATTAACTGGATACTTAAAAATGAAAACTTTGGGGGCTGGGGTTGTAACTCAGTGGTAGAGCACTTGCCTAGCGTGTAGGAGGCACTGGGTTTGATTTTCAGTACCGCACATAAATAAATTTTTTAAAAAATGAAAACTCTGATTTTATGTTAATCAGTGTGTCTAGTTACTGAATGCTTTTGTTGTTGTCGGCAGTTATGGGTAAAGCAGAAGGCTCAGTAGCCAGGGAAGAATGGCATGGGCACGTCACAGCTCTGTCTGTTGCCCCTGAATTTCGACGTCTTGGTTTGGCTGCTAAACTTATGGAGTTATTAGAGGAGATTTCAGAAAGGTGAGATCCAGTTTTTCAAATATACTTAGTGATTTATGACTGTAGAACATCTGTAAGATTTTCCCCCATTTCTGGCTGAGTAGCGCTTGCAGGGTTTTATTTTCAACTTCTAGTAGTTCTTAGAACTGTCTGTCACCTATTCTAAGTGATGTCATTGTTCCTGTTTTGTTATTGAGGAAAATTAAGGCAGAGTGTTGCAGTGACCTGTCTTAGGCCTATACGCTGGATAACTGGTGAAATCAAAGATTAGCCTTCAAGGAAGGTTTATTTTTGTGTTCTTGCTACTATGCCATAAGTTCCTAAATTTTGTTATCATTGTTCTGAGTATCTTAGTAGAATTTTCAGTGTTCCTGTACCAAAAGAAAATAGTTCCATCTTAAGTTTAATAAATACTTACAAGCCTAACAGCTTGTAAAATAGCCACTTTGAAAAGATAAACTGAAATAACATGCATATTCATTTCATTTTTAACTGTGTGGTTATTATCTATTAATGATATGTGCACCAAGGGCATTGAATGGTTTAAAAAAATTTTTTTTTGTTCTAGAGTGCTAGGGGCACTCTACCTTGAGCTACATACATCCCCAGCTCTTTTTATTTTTATTTTGAGACAGGGTCTTGCTAAGTTGCTGAGGCTGGCCTTGAACTTGTGAACTTGTGATCCTTCTGCCTCAGCCTCCCAAGTAGCTGGGATTAACAGGTGTGTTCCAGTGACTGAATGACTTTTTAAACCTTGGAAATAGATTCACCATCCTGTTTCCATTGCTATTCATGTGGCACTAGTGCTTTTTAAAATTACAGCAACTGCCAAAAACCCAGCTTCATAAAAATATTATGTAATTAAAAGGAATGTAGCATAATGTTGAATTTGTTAACTACTTTGAACTACAATTTTGCCAGTATCTGACATAAAGTTTTACTGTGTTTTCCCTAAACATCTTGAAAATCCTATAACCCTTCTATGAATTTGGGATACCCGAGTGCACAGTTTGGGAACTGCCAACATTATGACATTTTAAAAAGGGAGAGTCATATATTAAACACTCTCACTATGTGAGATAAAAAAGTAGTACAGTAATTAAAAGGAAGGCTTATCCCATTTCTCATTCTAGAAAAGTCAAGATAATGTAAGTCTGACCAATTATTCAGATGCCATTTATTTCTCAAGGTAAATGTCTGAAAGAGTAGTAGGAAAGTAGATTGTTATGAAAAAAAGGTCTGGAGGCTTAATTTTCACATAATTCTTGGACTTAATAAAGGCAAATTTTAAAGAAGTAACTGTGGCCACAAACATTCTGAGTCAAGTAGGATGCCAATCCCTTTAGAGAATAAAGGAAATGGTGTTAGCTGGAAAAGAAGTTGACTCTGGACTTTACAGTTTTGTTTTTAAAGTTATGCCTAGACTGAATAAGGAAGGGAAGAAAATTTTTAATAATACATAGTTTATACACATTTATTAATGACATCCTTGTTGGAAAAAAGTTATTTAGCATTCTTGTATAGCAGATAGAATGATAGGAAATAAGTTCCAACTGTAACCTTGCACATGTGTAATTAATTATAGGATAGATTGTCTATCTCTTTGAGTAGAAAACCACTAAGCTTCTTCTTCCCTTCTAGTGTTAGAAGCTTCATTATTTTAGGGTAGCTGTTAAGACTTAAGTTATTTGTATGAGTGTATGTATAAATGCATGTATTTAAATGTATACATTAAAAGTAGAAACAGTAGATAATTACCAAAAGAGGAGACAAAAAATTTGATAAGAATCAGTCCAAAAGAAGAGAAAGGAAATTTAAACTGGCAATACAAAAAGTATGAAATAAAGCAGTAGCTATGAGTTCAAACACTATCAGTAATTAAAATAGGAAATGTTAGGACTAATGATTCCAGTTAAAAGACAGAAGTGTATTGTATTTACAGGAAATATTTATAAAGATTAAAAAATGCACAAAGATTGAAAGAAAAATTTAAGGTATCATGTCATGCAAAGTCTAATGGAAAGAAAGTTGGTGTACTTCCATTAAGTTACACTATAGTTGAATAATTATTACCAGAGTAAAGAAGGGTCATTGTATACAGATAAAAGATTTAATCCATCAAAAATATGTGTTAGAAATTTTATGTACCCAGTGATATAAATTCAAAATAAAAATCCAAAACTTGACAAAACAACAATGATAAATAGATAGATGATTATTACAGTGAGAAATTTGAACATGCTTATTCCTGATAGAACAATAGACAGAAATTGGTTAAGGGTATAGAATGAAGGTCAGTGAACTTTTTCTGAACCAGAGAGTAAATAAAGTTTTCAGGTCACCTGAGATCTGTTGCGTTGTCTTATATTAATTTATTTTTAACTCTTCAGAATTATAAAAGTCATTACTTACCTTGAGAGCCAATTCCTACCTTAAAGGATTTCAATTAGGTACTATAACTTTCTGCAAAGAGAGCTTTGGCTTTTCTGGCAAATTTTAGCAAACATTTAAGAAATGACTATAGTAAGGTCACTTTTACACAAGCAAAAAAAAATCTTGGAACATTCTTCAACTTATTTTTTAAGGCTAGGATAACCTTGATAACAATACCTGACAAAAAACATGAAAATGGAAGAACTGAGGAAATCTCATTCCTTAAGTGCAAAAAAAAAATCCCAGAAAGATCATGGGGCAAAATGGGTTCAGTGGATAACATCAGGAACAAGGTTGTTTTAACTTCACACTAAATGAGAACAACTGTTTTTTCATTAAGTGCAGTAAACTTGATACAATCCAATATTCATTCTTGATTAAAAACCAAAAACAACAAACTGTTAGCCAACTAGGAAAAAGGAAGAGAGTGTCCTTAACCTAAAAGAAAAATTATTATCAATAATAAACCTCTAGTAAATATACTTTATGGTCACTAGATGAACATTCACAAATCAATTCCAGATTTATTAAAAACTTAGATGTAAAAGGCAAAACTAAAAAGCTCTTTGGATATAAGATAGAAGAGTGTTTATGTGACCTCAGGGTACAAAAGAATAACTTGGAACAGGTCAAAACGTGCTTAACTGTAAGAAGAAGGTTTTATGTTCAACCTTACTAACAACTGGAATAAATTTGATCATCAAAAGACACATTGGAGGGCTGGGATTGTGGCTCAGCGGTAGATCGCCCACCTAGCACGGGCGGGACCTGTTTTCAATTCTCAGCACTACATAAAAATAAAGGCATTGTGTTGTGTCCATATACAAAAAAGATATTTTCTCTCTCTCTCTCAAAAAAAAAAAAAAAAAAAAAAGATACATTGGAGATGATGATAAGACAAACCACAAACAGGGAAAAGATATTTCTAAAAATATTGTATAATGCTGAATATCCAAAATATACAGACAGCTGCAGCTTGGGGGAAAATTGTGTGAAAGACTACTGAGTATTGAATAGGAGAAATCTAAATGATCAATAACCAGAAATATATTCAGCCTTGTTAGTAATCAAATGCAAATTAAAATCACACTGAGATATCATTACACCATTAGTGTGGCAAAAATAAAAATGTCAGTTGCATTAAAGCTTGTTACTGTGGGATTGGAGTCTCATCCACTTCTATAGAAGGGTAATAAGTTTTACAAGCAGTTTGGAAAACAGGTTGGCATTATCTAATAAAGTTGAAAACGGTTATGACACAACAATATATATCCTAGTTATAGATCTTAGATGATACTATTCCACAAGATGCTCAATAAAAAAGTTTTCATAGCAGCATAGTTAGTGGTAGTGGTTGTTTTATATGTGTGATTGTGTGTTTGGCAGTACAGGAAATTGAACCCAGTGCCTTGCACATGTGCTAGGCAAGAGCTCTCCCACTGAGCTACATCAGCCTCCACAGCATAAACTGTACTAGTACAAACTGGAAATGCTTTTCAGTAGGACCATGGATGGCTTGTGGTGTATTCATACAGTGGAATGCTTAACAAAGTGAAGATGAACAAGCTCCAGCTCACAGTGCTGACTGAGGCGAATCACAAAGGAATGCATAAAGTCTGATTCCATTACATATAGACAACAAACAGGAGGAACTAAACTATAATAGATGGCAAATTGACAACAGAAAGCAAACAGAAAATAGTCTGGTCACAAGGGTCAGATGTGGAGACCTCTGAGTAAATGAACGTATATTACCACAAAGACCTGTGGGCTTCAGGGCTGCAACCAGCATCCTGCTATGGCTATTTGCCGTTTGTGCACATGAGAGAAAACATCATGTGCTATGACTGTTTTATAAAATAAGCATATCAATTACTGTGACATAGAATACACAGTAATTTTTAAAAACCAGTAGCAAAATTGTAGGAAAAAAATTATATTTTAAGAAAACGTATTACAGCTTTTGACTGTTTGCAAAAACAGTCATCTTTTTGTACCGCAGAATTGTCAAGCTGCAAAGTCTTGTTACTGAGTAGTAGTCAAAGCAAAGTAAAAACAAGTATTGTTTTTAAAAATCTGTATTTATTCCTAGGGTTTCTCACATTCCAACATCTTTCTTTTTTTTTTTTTTTTTTTTTTTTTAAAGAAAGGGTGGATTTTTTGTTGATCTCTTTGTAAGAGTATCTAACCAAGTTGCAGTCAACATGTACAAGCAATTGGGCTACAGTGTGTATAGGACGGTCATAGAGTACTATTCAGCCAGCAACGGGGAGCCCGATGAGGATGCTTATGGTAAGCTCCCTTCCAAAGCAGTAACTCCAAGAAGAAGCCAGAACAGTTAAATTTTTTCTCCAGGTTGAAATATTCAATTATTTTAATATATTAAAAAGAACCATATTGGACTTGGATATTTAAATCACCTTTAACATGTTTATGAACCTTATTAGTGATTAACTTACATTAACTAACCAGTGGTCAGTTTTTATAAATTATTATTTCATAATATTATGAGTATGGTATTTAAGATCGAATGTGTATGATGAATTAAATCCTGGGTGGGGTTTGGTTAGCATCTGATACACTTGGAATTGGAAGTCTTACTTATAAATACATTTCTCTTAGAGTCTGGAAGTGGGAGTATAGGACAAAATCTTTTATGGGAACTTTACCTACATACATTTAAAATTTGATATGAAGTGTTTTGATACTTGGATACTTCACATTAAACTTTGCTTCCTAACAGATATGAGGAAGGCACTTTCCAGGGACACTGAGAAGAAATCCATCATACCATTACCTCATCCTGTGAGGCCTGAAGACATTGAATAACCATAGGCAGTGGTTCTTAGGCAGTTGTTCCAAATAGTTTATGGACAATATTATTTTCATTGGATGTTCTTGGAGCACTATTAGGAGAAAAGTAATCATTTAGGTCTTAAAGACTTTTAAGAAAATACAGGATATAAACATTTTCAATCTCATTGTTTCCATTTAGCAATATCACATGTCTTAAAGCTGTTTGCTCTAATAAAATTCAATCAAGAAGGCAGCTAGGTCAGAAGGAAGCTTTCCACTATCATGATTCATAATGTCCACTATATGCCAGGAAAAGACTTGCTCCAGCCTCTTAAATTCTGTGCCTGAGAACCACTGCTGCATATATATATATAAATATATTTTTTATTTTGTATTGAACTGTTAATTGAAGCTTTAAAAGCATATATGAAATGTATAAATCTAAGATGTATAATAAAATACATTGTTGATTCTATTAATGTTTTCTGGGTGTCTGCTGGTCATTTACACAACTAAATCAAGATTATGAAAGGGCATCAGATATATTTTTCTTACTTTTTTTTTTTTTTAACTACATAAAAATAAGCTGCTTGTCGTGTACAGATTCTTCCTAGTTGTTTCCTGGATTTTTTTCTTTCTTTCAGTACTGTTTAAATCCTGCCTTCCTAAATACAAAAAGAAGCTGATTTTTTTTTTTTTTAAAGAAGAAAAGGAACTTAATTCTAAGAAACCAGACCATAGGCTGACCATGTGTTTTCATATGTAGTTTCATTACCTCTAGCATCTGAAAATATCCAATAAGTAAAAGAAAAAACTAAAGAAAAATCCACATGAAATGATTAAAAAGCTTTTACTGTAGAAAGGATTTTGGTGAAGTTCAGGAAAAAGATAAATGCATCTTTTATGTTCTCCCATAGGAGAATAACTTTCCTTCCAGCATTTCACACTGGCACGTTTGTTATGACTTTGAGAACATGATCCCTAACTTTTTCTTATGTCTACACACAACCTAAACAGAACAGATAATTCTAGGAAGACTGGCTGGTCATTAACGTTCAGACCTATTTTTGTCTTTCCCCTTGACTGCATATTTAGTAAAGGACAATCAGATTCTCCTAAGACCTCAGTCAGTATAACCAATCTGATACCCCAAAGTGTGAGGTCCAGTTACAAAAGCAGAAGACAAAAAGGCTTATTATTAGTTCTGTTTTCTTGTGCCCGCAAATGCCCTAATTTTCAAGATAGAAATTAATAACCAAGTCTCTTACTCCCTTGGATGAATTTATACATTTAATATTAAATTTACTTATTAATGGTCCTACAGGTGAGAAAGAGTCTTGAAAATACAGCTAAGTTAAATGAAACAGATCAGTTTTTCTGCTTGAGAATGTAAGTAATATATCATAATATTAATAATGTTTTCATTCTTGTGCTACTTTAAGCTTTCATTATTTAGTATATGGTACCTTCAGTGTTTTTACGTATACTCTAAACCCCTAGGCTGTTTAACATGTTGGGTGTTATGAGTAAACTTTTTTTGTACTTAGCACACAGAGATAATATTCTAGATAAAATTTATAATTCCATTGTTCATTAAATTTGGGAAACAATAGGACAGCATCATTATGAAGATTCATGATATATAACAGTATACCAAAGGCTCCAAGAAGACTGATTTTAGAGACTCCATTAACAGTTTAAGCTTTAATCTAGGATTTCCTAAACTTATTTGAAAAGGGGGCATCATTTTTCACAGCACATCTTATAAAACAAGTCAAAACTCAACTACAAAACTCAAACCAGTTTAAGGAACTAATAATGATATAATTGAAACTAAATGTTATTGGTAAAAATGACTTCAGAAAAATAGTCACTGTAAGTTAACTTTGCAATGTTTTTAATAGCTTTTGGTATAACTGGCCACTACTGAGAAGGTAAAGATGTTTTGATGTTAATTCAAGCATATCCTGATTTACAAGGAATGAACATATTTAACACTGGAAAAGAACAAACGTTTTATGCACTTACTGTGCACCAGGTATTTTTCTAATATAATTTTGAAATGTGCTGTCAAAGAATTGGCCTATTTTACGAGCAAGGAAACTGAAGAAAAAAAAAAAGGTTAAAATACACAATCAGTAAGTGGCAGTGCTGGAAACTGAATTCAAGACTGTGACTTTGAAAATAGTAAAAAGTCATAGGTTTCATGAATGCATAACATTAGAAAACTATATCTGAAAAATTACTGCAGACTGTAACCTGAAAACTTTTTTAAAAAAATAAGTCAAAAAAGTCTGCAGGTCCATCTAAAATAGATGCTAAGCATAACCTCAATTACATTTCCTAATGCATGATATAGACAAACATTAGGAAAGTTTGGAGTCAAGTGAAGAAATCCAGCATTTAAAAAATGCATTTACTTGCAATTCCTCACCCCTACCTAATCCAGAACATTTTAAAAATGATTCAAAAAAGTAGCCATCAAAAATCCCAAATAATTCCTTGCTGGTGAATATAAAAACTTCCAGGAGTCTCAAGAGTTCCAAACTGTCAATTTATAAAAATAATAAAACACTTTTCAATACGAAGAAAACATCAGGATTCACTCTCATCCACATCCTTATCTGGATCTTGCTCAGCAGCCTCCTTTTCCTGTTGCTGTTTCTTCCAAAGTTTGGCCATGGCCAAGAGCTTGAGGTTAGGTTGGTTGGCAGCATCTTCTGGAAAGATGTAATCATAGTATTCTTCCCATCCTGCATCAGACTATAGAAATAAAGCAAATTAAAAGGCAAGAAAACATTTGGCTTAAATACATTTCAGTTAAAGCAGAGTTTTTACTGGAAACCCAGAGTTCTAACTCAATTTGTCTTCATTTACAAAACAATATCAAAATCTACTACAAAAAACTCAAAAGCCAAGCCTGAAAGATAGGACATGAATAAGCAGCTGCTAGGTTGGTGTTGCTGGAGTTGTAGCTCACCAAAATGGGAAAATCTGGTGGAAGAAAATTCTGCTCCATAGTCAACCAAGAAGATAGTGTCTCTAACTATATTTTGCAGTCTTATGTTTAAGATTCACACTTTTAAAGATTTTTTACTTCACATGTATCTAACAGCAAAAGCTATATACCTGTGCATTATTATTATAATACATGCCCCTTACATCCTTATCTCCAACTGACTACTGATTTCACTTGCCAAAATTTGCTCTTCTAGGCCCCACTTCTACCTGCACTTACTTAGCTTACAAAAACAGCTTTCTCACAGGTTTTCTTTATGTAATCTAAGACTCTTAAGCTTTCCTGTATGAAATAACAGCAATCTTGTTATGTCATTTTATCTATAAAAAGCCTTTATAATAAATTCCCACCAAACTCTTTCCTATGCCTACAAAACTTTGTCTGGATTAGCTCCACTTGGTGAGTTTATTTCCCTCCACATTGACTTCCTACTTTAGAAATATCACATTTTATATAGTTCCTGGACTCAACTATACCCCAAAAGCTTTTGCCAATCCCCATCCGAATCCTCTACCCTGCCTGTCCTTCCTTAGTAACCGGACTGCAAGTGACTCTTACTCTAGGCTGTGTGCTCCCATTCTCATGTTGTATATATGCCAATTGCACAAACTTTAAACTCATACATTTCTACTCATGTAACACAAAGCTTCAAGGCTCAGCTCTTACCCCATCATCAGCCTGGACCTTTCTTCTCTTCTTGACTTTTTCTGGCATGAGTTTGTCTACTCTCTCCTTATCTGATGCTGTTCCAAATTCATCTTCAAAGCTTCGCCAGGATTCTAGCAGCATAAGTCTCTCTTCCTTTTCTTCACAGTTTCGCATGGTTTTGTTAGCCTCTTCATAAATCTGTCTACATTTAGCCACACTTCCTTCTTTCCCTGTAGACAACTCAAACTGAGCAAAACTGATCCATACCTTAAAGAAAATTATTAAGGAATCAAATTAGCAATGTCATCTAGATGGCAGTCATAATAATAATAAAGCTAATTTCTAGTTCATGATATCTGAATATGATATAGTCATTTCTAGTGTTTCACAGAATACATTGACTATATGAGTCAATGTAAGCATGGAAGTAATTTGTTTCTATATCTGATAATAACCATGAAAAGAGGAACTTTTTCCAATCTCATGATATCCAAGATATTCACATGCAGTATAAACATATACATTGTATAAGTTTAATATTCACAAGTCCTCTGAGACTTGTGGGTTCTCATTAAAAGCAAAGAAATAATTTAAAATAAATTTTCTTTTTTTCCTATGGTACTGGAGATTGAACCTCATGCATGCTGGGCAAGTACTCTACCACTGAGTTATATCCCAAGCCTTTCTAAAATTTTTACTTGGGATAGGGTATCAATAAGGTGCCCAAGCTAGCCTTCAAGTTCTGATCCTCCTGCCTCAGCCTTCCAAGTACCTGAGATTACAGATGTTTATCCACTATGTATAGTTAAATTAAATTCTCTAATAAAAAAAATACACAAAGTATTTTTTTTAGGACTGCTGATTCAAGCAAAATCAAAGATCAACAACAAATCACAGGATACCTTGACATGTTGTGTTCGCTGAAGCAATTGTCGATAAAGATTTCTTGTTCTTTCTGTTTCTTCCTGTTCAATTTCAAAATCAATATATGATTTCCAAAGCACCTAAGAAAAACAATAGGTCAGTCTTAACATTTACAAAGCAGATGCACCCATCCAAAGCACAAATTACCTATACTTTAATTTACATCCAAGAACAGAACTTATGCTAAGGAGTTAATTGACAGCAAATGAATGAAATAATAATATCTGCATTTATAAGCTTGCTAAAACTCGGCTAGAATTCTAGACTACAGGCCAAAAGACCATGGATTCAGTTTTAGATTCTCCTTTGGAGTTTTTCCAAAATGTTCAATTTAATCAAGAACTGAGAAATAGCAAGTGTCTCCCAGGTACTTTTATGATTCTGCCACATGCAATTAATCATGAGGGAGAAAACTGGCCCAAATTAGCCAGTATGTCTTAACCTTTACTGTAAATTCCTTGTTATTTGAGTTAAACTCAACAAGCATTTATTGGATAGGTGCCTACCTGTCAAGCACAAGGATAAATAAACTGGCCTGGACATGTGGGAGCAGCAGTCTAGTGGAAGAATTGAGGCCAAGATATGGAACCAGAGATACAAAGCACTGTCCTGATGTGGTCAGTGGGGCCTGAACCATTAAATGTAGGGTCATGTTAGGTCAATACTGACAAAATGGCCAAGTGAGTTGTGACTCTAGTGTCACTCAAATCAGTCCTATAGTCTGGCGCCACCATGTGGCTAAAGCTTAACTACTGAAAGCTGGCCAGGACAGCAGCAGTTATAATTCTAGACACATTATGGTTTGGTTGGAGCCTCTTTTATTGGTCCAATCCAGGCAAAACTGTACTAGAACAGGAATGTGCAGTCCCCACCTCTATTTCTCCT